CTGCACTGCAGGAGCAGAGCCCATGTGCCATTGCAGGGTGGAAAATTGCCTCTGTCCTCCTTGGGGACAGTTGTCTCTGTCCTAGAGTTAAAACATATTCCGCTAAGTCACCTTTTGTTGAGAAATCTGGGCCTTGTGGTGAAAGACCTTGTAACTCCTTTGTGCTTGAAAATTGAGAGTTAATGGTGTTCTTATCAGATAGCTCCTTAGTGGGGCTACAAATGTGGAGGTCATCTGCACACTGTGACAGGGCTCCCTTTTTGAGCTTTAAATCTCTCAGGCCTTGAGCCTGTAGAAACAAGGGGGAGGCTAGCTCTAAAGCCCGGGGCCAGACAGTCCCAGTGCACTGTTGGCAAAGTCCTGTTTGGAGGTCCTCCCATTCAAACACGAGCAAATATTGGGAGCTAGGATCCCCAGGGATAGGAAAGAATATATCTCCTCCAGTGCTGCTACAGAGCACTCTGGTATCACCACAAAGGCAGCTTGAAAAGGAAATCAGAGTGACGGTGAAGATGCTGTCCAGTTAGCTCCTTCAAGGCCCACGACTGTAGAATGGGATGAAAGCTCACCCCAATAAGAAACTAGAGCTGAATATGTCACCTCACTGTCACAGAGAAATATGATTTGCTTGCGCACCGTGTCTAGAGCCACCCCAGGCCCTATGAATGGGTGGGTGCTCTCTAATGCAGGGGCCACGCAGTCCGCCTCAGGCACTACCGATCACTGCCAGCCTCCTCTCTGGCCACCATGGTGAGAAACAAGCTCATCCCTCTCTAGGAACCAGGGCGTCCCTCTCCTGGTACCAAAGATCTTCTCCCGTGTTCTGAGAGGGCCCTGAGGACAGGGTGCTTTCTGAGGCCATCCCGCTACCTGGTGCCTGATGGCTTGCCTTTGAAGCACTGTGACTTACTTCTGTCATTTTTAGACTGCCTTTATCTTAGTTGCTTTTCTCTCCTTGCTGAGACAAAATCCTCAGCACCCACAGTTAAGGGAGCAAAGGTTTATTCAGCTCAGTTTGTAGAGGCTTCAGTCCAGTCAGCTGGCTCCAAGGCAGGGTGGCTCATGGCAGAGGGAAATCACAGAGGAGAAACAGTTCATGGTGGGCAGAAGGCAGCAAAGCAGCAAGGGCCGACCACAGCTCTGTCCCTTATTCTTATCCAGGCTGCTTAGGGCGGGCAGCACTCACACCCTTAATCCTAGTGCCCTCGAGCCAAGCATTGTGCCACGAATCCATTCTGGCGTCACACACTCTAGACCCAGCTGCTTCTGAAAAGGCCCACCTGTGACCACATGAGGCTTTGGGGACGTCAAGACACAGCCATGACAGCCTCGGTTTCCCCTCGTGCTGCAGGCTTTTCATGATTGGAATCAAATAGGGCAAGCATGGCTTCTGCCTGCCTGTTTCCCTTATACAACTCTCATTTGGCCTGTGCGTCATCACGGTTAGCAAAGACCAAATAAGCCACATCAACTTATCTCTGCTCGTGGGCCCGGGTGGAGTCCCTGGAGTGCTGTCCTTGTATCCAGAGTGGACGGACTGCTGGAGTGCTAGGCTGTGCTGACCTCCCAGACTCAGGGTAGACCAGATGTTTACAGAGCCCCTCTCCCTGCTGGCTGACAAGTACCTGAGTACTCGAAGCCTTGGTCCAGCCCCAGCCCGCCCGGTTCACAGCCCTGTGCGTCCCTGGCTGCCCATCTGCTAAGATGGCCTTGATGGTCACTTCCGCCTGGCTGCCCCACCCGCCTTGAGACCCCAGTCCGGTCCGGTTGGGACCCAAAGGATGCAGCGGTTAGGGGACCCTCGGCAGCGAGGGCTTCGTCCTTGCCCCTCTTTGCAGCCCGCAACCCTGGCTCCTTCCTCTGCTGTGCCACAAGCGAGCAGGCTGAGCTGGACACCCGCCGGCCAGGACCAAAGCGAAGTCTGCAGACTTCCGGCCCCATCTTCCGGTCCTCACTCCGCCCAGGTCCCAGTCCAGATCGCACCCTCCGGGGGCCGCTTGGACGCCGAGTCTCCGAGGGGAGCCGTGGGGAGCTGCGGGGCGGGGGCGGGGGCGGGGGCACCTCCCACCCTCCCTGCCCTCCGCGGAAGATCCGACCCTAACAGGAGGATGCAGGGGCCCAAGCCGCACAGGCCTGGCCGCCAGCAGGGCCTCCGCAGCCTCTCGGGACAGCGCCGCCGTGCGGCCCGTGGGGGCTGGGAAGGCTGCACCCCTCAGGCCCACTCAGTCGGGCAGAGCCGCCCCCTGGTCACTGCCTGCTGGATCCTCAGGGCCGGGCGCTGCAGCTGATCTGTTCCCATTGCAGCTTCAGCGGGAGCCTCCCTGAGAGCCGCAGCCCTGGGGCGGAGTCTCCAGCCCAGCCCCCTGAGGACGTGCATCTCCTCCTTTTTGAGCCTTAGAATCTCCCCTAGTCCAGCCAGTCCCTGGCAGGCCTTAGGGGCTGGACATCTCACTCAGGAGGTTGAAGCAGGGAGGTTGCTGTGCATTTGAGCCCAGCTCCTGTTACATGGTAAGGTCGAGGTCAACCTGAGCTACATAGCAATATCTTGTCGCAAAAACAGAAGCAAGCGAACAGAAAAAGGGCTGGGAATGTAGCTGAGTGCGAAGGCCCCGAGTTTAATTCCCAGTAGTGAAACAAAATGAAAACAAAGAGGGGCCGAGGATGTAGCTCAGTGGTGCTGTACCGGTCCCGAGTTCAATTCCCGGCAGCAGAAAAAAGAGCTAAAAAGAACACAAAAACAAAACCCAAAGCACTCAGTGGAGACCAGCTTCTAAGGACAGAGAAATGAGACACATTTTGAAAACTTCTATTATTGCTCAAAAATATAACTCAGCAGCGCCACTGGGGCACGAGGTACAATAGCTGCTGCAGTCACTTCCAGTCCCTAGGTGGAAACTGCCGAATCAAAGTCCCGCAGGGCATGCACTTGGAGCTGGCTGCCACTGGGCATCAGAATTCTCAAGACCACATTTTTATGCTGTTATTCCAGACAAAGAGAAGAGCCCATGGAATGCCTCCTTTTATCGGAGAAACTTTGGTAAAATCATTTGGGGCTTTTTGGAAAAATAATTTTAGAAATAGCAGACGTGGTGCATTCCTGTGTAGGAAAAACAGACTTAATCAGTGGCCTAGGCTGAGCTTTGCCCTTTGAAGCTGAGAGTCCCCGGGCAGGCCCTGAGCTGTCTACTGTGGTACAGATGGATTCTTCAGTTTTACTCCCAATTGATCCATCATCATGATACAGGAAATAGTAGCAGGGATGAAATATGAAATGTTCGATCTCCCAGACTGCTAGACATCAGATATGCCAGGCTCGTGTTCTCTAAAACCCAAAGAATGAATTCTAGGGACAACGGAGGTTAAGAGGAGGAAGATACTGATTGATAGGGTAGCAGCTGAGAGACAGGAGGGGACCTCACTGGGTAGCAGGGACCCCGGTCTTCTACAGGGGAGTCTGTAGAGGGAAACCCGAAAAGGGGATGACGTGAGCCACAGCCCTGCTCAACCGGGAAGGTAACAGGTATGGTGGCTTAGGAAACAGTGACCCAGCTGGGAAACAAGCCACGGAACAAGTGGGCACAGAGAGAACACAGACTTCCAGGAAGCGGTGGGTCCAGCGCTCCTGGTGGCCTATGTCCACCTGGGCTTCGCTGGGCCCGGGGTCTGTCCTCTGAGGAAGTGTGCAGGTCTGGTCAGCACGTCCTTATCTTGTTCTTGCCCAGGCCTCAGCTGACACATATCTGGTGCAGCTGAGGTGAGCTTCACCTGTGTCCTCTCTCCAGGGCAGCCCTATCTGATGCCTGTGCTGTTTCTACCCAACTCGGTGTCTATAATAACGTGGGAAACAGGTTAAAAAAGAAGAGGGCCCAGGATGCTTAGATATCCATATCCACCCATAGACGAAACGGGACAAAACCGGAAATTAACTTTTATTTTGCTTTGAAAACGCTGCTATAAGATAGCCTGCTCTTCATGCAGCTAATTCTGAATTATCATCCTGGGAATATTTTTAATAAAATAGACATTAGTAACAACTGTACTTGAGAAATAACGTTATAACAGGAAGGCAAAGCTTGTGTGAGTTAAGTGAGCCGTCCAGAGGGAGAAGGGAGGGTGGGCCAGGCTTGGGCGGTGGGTGGCTGCCAAGTCAGAAGTTCTGGTAGTTTGGGGAGGCTGAAGCAGGAGCATGATTTGGAGGCCAGCCTGGGCTACGCAGTGAATTCAAGACCAGCCGGCATGACATAGTGAGACCCTGTCAAAGGAAAAAAAAGAAAGAAAGAATTATATTTTTCTATTTACTCAGGCCTTTATTCCTATGAACACTGTTTTACATCTTTAAGTGCAGAAGTTTTGCCTGCTTTGTAAAACTCCGTTCTTAACTGTGTATGTTTTTGGCTGATAGAAACAATACTGTCTTCAACCACGTTTCCCATTGTCAGTAGAAGAAACGGACTGACTTTACATCGCCAAGGAGAAAGGGCCCTTTCTCGGAGCAGCGTCAGGTCTCCCAAGAGAGCCGCGCCCGGTGAGGTGACCCTGGCACCGCAGGCAGTGGGGTAGAGGGAGGGATCGCGGACCACAGCGAGAGCTTCGCAGCGGCGCTCGGCTCAGACGCGAGCGCGGGGAGGAGGTCCGAGCTGGGCACTCTGCCCTGGCCGGCAGAGGGAGCCCGGGGCGCGGGGCCGCCGTCGCGGGGCGGAGGAGGCCCGCGGCTCCTGCAGGCGGCGCTGGCGTCCGAGTGTGCACCCGGCACACGTGTCTGCGACACACGCAGCGCAGCAACGGGGCGACGCGTGCCGCGACACAGTGCATCTCCGTCCCTCCTAGTCCGAGACGCCTGCCTCGGGCTCCCTGTCCCCTCCCGAGACGCGCGGGCCACAGACGGGCCGCCCCCCCGCCGCACCGCCCGGCCCCTTTTATGGGACGGGCGGCCCGCGGACCCCCTGCCTCAGCCTCAGCCTCCTGCGCACTGGAGCTCCAGGTGTGCCCCGCGCGCCCGGCCCGACTTGGGAACTTTTGCCGAGAGCTCAGCCTCCGCGCGGCCCCGCCCGCCGCCCTCCCTCCTGGCTCCTCCTCCGGGCTGAGTCAGGGGCTGGAAACTTTTAAAAGCCAGGAGCCGGGGCTGCGGAGGCCCGCAGGACGAGCCGCGGCCGCTGCAGAGTGAGTGGGACGCGGGGCCCTCGGGACGGCGCTTGCGGGCAGGGTCGCCCGGGCCCACGTGGTCGCCGGCTGCGGACCGAGGCCGGAGCAGCCCGAGGGGCCCGGCCCGGGTCAGGGGCAGCCGAGCGCGGTCCGCACTGCGCGCCGGGCGGAGACAAAGCCCATGCTGCAAGCCTCGGCGCCGCCCGCCCGGGCTGGGGTCCGGGGTCCGGGGTCTGGGGCCGGGGGGCGGGGGCCGGGGACCCGGGGCCGGGGTCCTGGACCGGAGCGGAGCGGCCCCTTCTGTCCGCCTCGGGTCCGAGCTCTGGCCGCCCGGGGGCCCCGATTCCCGCGCTGGCCCGGGCTCCTTTGTGCGCCCGGTGGCGTGGGCGCCTGGACGGGGCCGGGGCCGGGGTCGGGGCCTCTCCGGGCCTGGAAGCCCGCGCCGCTCTCCGGCCCCGCGGTGCGGCGGCTTCTGCCCAAACTCGTTCGCTAGGAAAGTCCTTGCGGGTTTCAGTCCCAGCGGGTCTCCTAATAGTTGGTAGAAACTAGGTTTGCTCCTTATTTTAGAGGCTACTTTGCTAAAGAAAAGTTACCAAAATTGGAAAGCAGACGAGCTGTATCTAAAGAACTTTTACACAGTAACGGCGACGCTGAGGTCCTAAGCCTCACGTGCACGAGTGACCAGTGTAGGGTTCTCAGCGGATTCACTGAGGCGCCTGAGGGAGCGCGCACGCGATTACAAAATAACAAGGTTGTCCAGTGGAAACCGTCGGTAGCGCAGGATTGTAATCCCAGCACCGTGGGAGGCTGAGGCAGGAGGGTTACAAGGTGGGGGCCTGAGCAGCTAAGCAAGAACCTGTCTCGAGAATAAATTTTTTAAAATCCCATTTGGGGGTTTTGCGGGGAGGGGAGCCTGGACGGAAATGAGTGTCTGAAGCTGCTCAGATCCCCGCTGAGGATCCGGGCTCCAGGCTCAGGGCTGCCTCTGGCACCCAGTGATGGAAGACGGTTGTGCTGGGGGAAGCTGGGTGGCAGCTTCAGACTTCAGGAAGGGCAGGGGGACACCTCCTGGGCCCCCACCCTGTCCTGAGGGGCTGGTGCAGGGCCGATGAGGCCAGGGCGGCTGTGTTGTGTTGTGCTGAGCTGCAGCCTCTCCCTGATGCCCCATGCAGAGCCTGGGGCTGTCCCTGTCCTTCAGGGAACCAGGCGAGTGAGCGGGACACACTGTGTACAGGGACATGGTGGGCGCCCAGCCTCCCGGCAGCAGAGGGTGTTTCCCGCAGTGCCCACTTGGCCCCCTGGTCCCAGCTGTGCTGAGCGGACACCAGCAGCCCCGGTCCTCCTGCGTGGCCACCCTCGTGGGCTGCTGCTCTTGTTGCCCTGCTGGCTGCAGTCACCAACTAGCATGCCCAGAACTGGGGAGGGCAGCGCAGCACCCAACACGTGGCCGAGACTCCGGGTGACGCCCAGCAGCTGTGCTGTCCGTGCAGCCCGGAGCTGGCAGGGGTCGCCAAAGCTGGGGTGGACACAACGGCCCAGCAGTGCCACGAAAGCCTGCCCTGACGGGAGGCGCCTGGCTGCTGTCTGACCCAGAGTCCCCTCTTTAGCTGGAAACTTGGAAAGTTTGAGAAGAAGAATGACAGCGGAGAGAATGTGCAGGTGGGCCCGCTCCCCGGCTGGTTCGTTCCGCTTTGGACGCACTCTGAGCTCTGAGCGGGGCAGGTTTACGCAAGTCTCCTGAGCAGCCGGGAGGGTGGGACACAGGGACAAGTCACACCCGCAGATGTGCAGCACGTGCGCGGAGCTGGGGCCTTCAAACAATGTGAGGAACCGGGCACAGGAAGTGACAGGGTGGGAGGGGAGGGGAGGGTGTCGCTGTCCCTGCAGGGTCAGTGGAGGGGACAACAGCGAGGCCAGCTGCAGGTGGAGCAGACTGAGCGAGAGCCAGGTGGCTCTGCACGCTGCTGTTTCCACACTGGGCTTGCAGTGCGCGTTGGCAGCAGGGTGACCGGGCTGCTGACCGGAGAGGTGGCCATGGCCAAGAGAGACTCAGCACAGGCGCGGCGGGAGCCAGGTCCTTGGCTGTGGGGTGAAGGTCACAGCCTCCGGGCAGCCACGTGCATCACAGCCAGGCCTGGCTCCCACCACAGGCACAGGGCTCCCCAAGAGAACCGGGGCCGGGGGTTCTGAGCGTTTCCGCCTGACAATTGCTGGATTCCGAGGGTTGGAGACACGTGCGTGGCACCCCTCGAACCCATTCAGGGATCTGGTCAGGACTTCGCAGGGGTTTCCTCTCTGGGTCATCAGTGAAGCGCCTCTTCCCCGACTCTTTCTGTCCTTGAGCCTGGAGACCTCGGACCCGTTCCAGTATCAGTGGCCTGTTTGCCTGTGTCAGTTGTCTCTGTTTGGGAAGAAATCTTTAAAATGCAAAGTAAGACAGTTTCTGCTTGTAAGACCTGTTTAGCTGCAGGGAGGAAGGGACCACACCTGTAGCTGGGACTTTGTTCTTAAGGCTGTAGCAGGAGGGATCCGCAGGGAGAGATGGGAGAGGGGCCTCAAGTGAGAGATCTCGAGCTCTGGAGCGGGTGGCCAGCGTCTCTCCTGTGGCCTCGGAGTGGCAGGGGGGAGGGACAGGAGTCCAGAGCCCCACGACTTTGTAGACACCTTGTGCCTTTCACCTTTCCTGACATTTCTCTTATTTCGAAATATTTGGAACAAGAAACACGCTGAGAAACCATTGTTTGCCTGCTCATCTGAAACTTTCACAGTCACCCGGGACACTAGTTTTAAAAGTGGCTAAAAATAAAAACGGGCTTTCGGGGCCCTCAGCCCGGATGTCCAGTCCCCGAGGCCCAGACGCCAGCTGGAGGGGGACGGGGGCCTAGGAGCGGAGGGGCTGGGTCTGGGGTGTGGACCGGGAGGGCGGAGCCGCTACGTGTGAGCCCAGAGCATGGACCGTGCTGAGCGTGGGACAGGACTGCGGCCCTAGAAAGGACGCCTAGAAAGGATGCGTGTGTCCAGCCACACCTGGAGACGTGCATGCGAATGTTGACGTGGGTGTGGGACACAGGGCTCGCGAGTTGCACAGCAGCCTGACCGGGAGAAGGCGGATGCGGGCACCAGGCAACAGCTCGTTTTCCAGGCTGGGAAAGAGCTTAGTGAGGACCCACAGGCGCTGACACGAGCAGACTGTTTACCCCGAAGCCTGGCAGGAGGGTCGCCCTGCGAGTTCAAGGGCTGCCTGGATTCCACAGCAGAGCTTGCTCAAGGAGCAAATGAAAAAACCAAACCAAAACAACAAAAAGATGACTCCGAGTGCCGCAGAGCAGAAAGGGAAGTGTGGGGCGAGGCTGCCCCTGGGGCCAGGCCTGCCTGGGCTGTTCCTCACCCTCTGCCCCACCGGTCCCGGGGCACCGAGGCAGCCTGGCATGGATCAGGGTGGGGGCAGCCATGCCCCAGGGACAGCGCTGCAGGGGTCCCAGCGGGCCCCGGTGCAGCCCTGGTGAACCTCACCTCGCCAGGCCGTGGGCCATGTGCCCTGCGCCTGCCCCTCGGTGCCCACACCCGGCCCTGGGCGAGGCTGCTCCCGCGTGTCAGAGGCAGTGAGCCCGCAGGGAGCTTGGCACAGCCTCTGCCGCGGTGCCGTCGCTTCTCCAGCTTAAGTTACCTTAAAGGGAGGGAGGTGAGGCTCTTGGGGCTGGAAAGCCAGATGGGACAGTTTGCATGTGGTGTTGTGTGTTTTCTGCTCTTGAATGCCGGGAGGGTGATGGACAGTTTGCAGTATTGTGGGTGTCAGCGGGTGCGGTGGTCCCTGTACTTCGGAGGCTGAGGCAGGAGGGAGCACTGCCTCGGGTTAGATGCCAGCCTGAGCTGCAGAGCGAGGCTCTGTCTCAAAGACGCGGCAGGGCCTCTCCAGGCTGCGATGCTCACGCGCTCCATCTGTCTCCGCAGGTGACCCCCGGGCAGCATGGGAGACTGGAGCGCCCTCGGGAAGCTGCTGGACAAGGTCCAGGCCTACTCCACGGCGGGCGGCAAGGTGTGGCTGTCCGTGCTGTTCATCTTCCGCATCCTGCTGCTGGGCACTGCGGTGGAGTCGGCCTGGGGCGATGAGCAGTCGGCCTTCCGCTGCAACACGCAGCAGCCGGGCTGCGAGAACGTGTGCTATGACAAGTCCTTCCCCATCTCGCACGTGCGCTTCTGGGTGCTGCAGATCATCTTCGTGTCAGTGCCCACGCTGCTGTACCTGGCGCACGTCTTCTACGTGATGCGCAAGGAGGAGAAGCTGAACAAGAAGGAGGAGGAGCTCAAGGTGGCGCAGACGGACGGCGCCAACGTGGAGATGCACCTGAAGCAGATCGAGATGAAGAAGTTCAAGTACGGCATCGAGGAGCACGGCAAGGTGAAGATGCGCGGTGGCCTGCTGCGCACCTACATCATCAGCATCCTCTTCAAGTCGATCTTCGAGGTGGCCTTCCTGCTCATCCAGTGGTACATCTACGGCTTCAGCCTGAGCGCTGTGTACACCTGCAAGCGCGACCCGTGCCCGCACCAGGTGGACTGCTTCCTGTCGCGCCCCACCGAGAAGACCATCTTCATCATCTTCATGCTGGTGGTGTCCCTGGTGTCACTGGCCCTCAACATCATCGAGCTCTTCTACGTCTTCTTCAAGGGCGTCAAGGACCGGGTCAAGGGCCGGAGCGACCCCTACCACCCGGGCAGCGGCCCGCTGAGCCCCTCCAAGGACTGCGGCTCCCCCAAGTACGCCTACTTCAACGGCTGCTCCTCGCCCACCGCACCACTGTCGCCCATGTCGCCGCCCGGGTACAAGCTGGTGACCGGGGACAGGAACAACTCCTCCTGCCGCAACTACAACAAGCAGGCCAGTGAGCAGAACTGGGCCAACTACAGCGCCGAGCAGAACCGCATGGGCCAGGCGGGCAGCACCATCTCCAACTCCCACGCGCAGCCCTTCGACTTCCCCGATGACAGCCAGAACGCCAAGAAGGCGGCGGCCGGACACGAGCTGCAGCCCCTGGCCCTCGCGGACCAGCGGCCGGCCAGCAGGGCCAGCAGCCGGGCCAGCAGCAGGCCTCGGCCTGACGACCTGGAGATCTAGGCCCGGCTCTTGAGTGGCGAGGTCCACTCGGCGCTGGAGGAGAAACAGGAGGAGGGCATCGAGGGCTCTTTCGGGGCGCGTGGTACCCGGTGGCCTTCCTCGGGGCTGGGGACACAGGCTGCCTTGGCATCGGAGGATCTGGGGCGCAGGGGTGGGCGGGCGGGGCGGGGCGGGGCGGGGCGTGGGGAGGCGCCGCTGGGCTGGTGTTTAACGTAGTGGGTTCCGAGGATCTCGGCTCAAGACTCGGGTAGCTGAGACTAGGTAAGGGCTTTTCTTTCCCCACACCCCCGGGCGCCTCTGGATGTGAAAGGCTGGCTGGTAATTGGCTAAATATGTCTTCCTAATGTTTGTTTTGCCAAGAACCTGAAATACCTTTGGCCAGGAATAAACACTTCCTGAGCATCTTTCTTCTTTTCAAGAAGAGAAAGACGGAAGACTGCTCGCGCCTCCACTAAAACATTCCGTGTCATTTTGCACTTTGAGGGAGCTGTCCAGGCCGCCTGCAGCATCCGTGGGCTTTTGCGACTCCGTGTTTTAGATATTTTTAAATTCTTGATGTCGATTAAAAGTTCAGACAGGGCCCACGGAGAGAGCTCTGCCACGCACGCCCGTTTCTCGGGTCCCGACCACCCCACACTTGGTGGCTCTGCACTCGGAAGGCATCGGGCTTCACTTGACGCTTTTCCGGTTTCGTGTCAGGGGAGCAAGCCATGCCTGGGGTCCGACAGTCACGTGAGTGTGAGTGCGTTTTATTTGACATGTATTGGTACACACAGGTGCAGCGCAGACTCACAAACACAGACCGGAGACAGTGCACGCGAAGCTGCTCAGGCTGCGCGGAGTGGTGTTTACATTGTACGGTTCCTCCTGTGCTGGCCTTTGACTTGCTAAAATGTTTTCACCGTGTATCCTATTGTGGATACCGGCTTTGTTGATTACAGTTCTTTAGCTCTCTCTTTCTTCTCTTTAGAATGTAGCAGTAATGCTGTACCGAAATGAATGATTTCCTTTTTTCTGAAATATAATCATCGATGCTTGAATGATAGGATTTTAGTACTGTAAATGGCTTAGTCATTAATGTGAGAGACTTAGGAGAACACTTAGAGAGAGCTGCTGTCCAGCGTGCCTACGTGATTGCAGTAGCGGGTGCTCTCGGTCGTGGCCCAGTTAACACACAGTTCAGAACCAGGCTTCTGTCAGATTGTCGGTCTCGGTGGCCACCAGCAACTTCCATGTTTGCACTAAGATTTTCCTTGGGATGCAAGAGGAGCTGAGATGTTTCAGGAGTGCACAGGTAACTAATTTATTTGAACTGTATGCTAAAGACATCGAGCCGTTTCTTCAAGTGCCTTTTGGAAACTCTTCACAAATGAATGGTGAAAATCTGGGGTTCCTACTTTCTTTTCACACATCAACTGCATACAACCGTTTTGAACAACGGAGACCCCTAATGCGTTTGACATTCCATGTTCCACCACTGTTCAGCTTCGATGCATGTGATGCAGACCTGCTCCCTCCGATTGTGTGTTCTGAGTGTTCTTTATTCAATAAAGTTCTAATTTAGTAGAAAGGTTGCCTGTGTATCCTGTGTGATTTTTCCATCTTGCCTATTGTGTCAGTTAAAGGTTATCAAAGATACCCATTAGTTATAAGGACTTGGGCAAATAGACTTTTTTTAGGGGTGGTTTGGGGGGAGGTTTGAAACAGGGTCTTTCAGGGACGTTTCCGAGTGGACCTGGAACTCCCTGTTAGCCCAGGGCCATAGCCTCAAACTTGAAACCACCCTGCCTCAGCCTCCCTGAGTTTTCCTGAGCAGAGTGCAGTCCCAAATGCTGGGATTGCCCAGGAGGCTGAGACAGGGGCTTCACCGTGAATTTGAGGCCAGCCTGGATGACGGAGTGAGACCCTCAAGCCTTGGTGCCCCCCCCCAGAAAACCTCTGAAGAGCAAAAGTGAAAAGCTAGGCATAGTGGCATACATGTGCAATCCCAGCATTTGGGAGGCTGACGCAGGAGGATTGCAAAGTTCAGGCCCACCTAGGCTTCATGAGTGAGATTCGGGCTCAGAAAACCAAAGAATAAAAATAAAGAGGAATGTAAGACTGCACTCTGCTCAGGAAAACTCAGGTCAGAGTTACTCCATTTCAGGTACTTGGAAATATTAAGCCTGAAGCCAGGTAACTCAAATGTATTATTTTTGGTTTTTAGAGGCAGGGTCTCACTGCAGCTCAGGCTGGCCTTGAACTCAGCGATCCTCTTGTCTCAGCCTCCCTAGTGCTGTGATCACAGGTGTGTGCCACCGTGCTCAGTGAGTTAGCCAACATTTAAACTACAAAACTGCATAAAATCCAGAGGAACACCCAGCCCAAACGGGTATAAAATAGTTGAGGTCAACTCAAAGGATGTTACAGGATGAAGGCCCAATGCAAAATTCATTAAACAGGACCTGAATCCTCAGCACTCCTGGTCTCCAAAGATGTGGGTGAGGGCAGGGCCGAGTTTGAACTTTCCCAATAAAGACCTTCAGATTTCTCTTGCATCTTTATTTTTTTTTCCCATTAAGTTTATTGGTACATTTTAGGTATAAAATACAGTTACATTCATCATTGGGATCTTGTACCTTTACATGAGTCTCTTGGTTCTTATTTTTTCCCCTTCCCCTGCCCTCCCTTCACCCTCTCCACCCCCTCCACCCTTCCCTATTTGCAAAGGCTTTATTTCCATTTTTTTCCTTTTCTCCTATTTTTTCCTTTCCTTTTTTTCCCTTCCCCTAACCCCCCCCCATTCCCCTGCTCCTTTAGACCTTTCCTTCCTATTACACAATATCAGTTACACATTTTTTAAATTATAATATCAAGACCTAGGAGACATTACCACAGATTTTATAGAATTTAAAAGGATATAGAACGCATATTACAAAAATCTTTTTTGAAAAAAATTTGACAACTTCTAAGAAGTACCTTGGAAGACAAATTAATGAAACTAACTCTGGAGGAAATATAAAATTTGAATAGCACCTATTAAAGAAAGTCTATTCCTAGCTTGAAAACCTACCTATATGACAACAGCAGGCTCATAAACATTTTAACTGATAAATTATATCAAACAATTAAAGCAGAAAAAAGAAGGAACACTTCTCCCCTCATTTTAGGAACTCAACATTGTGCTAATCCTAAAACTGGATAAAGATAATAGAAGAAAAAAGTATGAACGTAGATAGAAATTTGTTTAACAAAACAAACTCTTAGAAGTCAGATCTGGCAGGATGTAGAAAGTGGTTTTGTTACAGGGATGGCAGTGTTGGTTCAGCATTGGAAGATCCACCCCCAAAAGTCATCATTTTAACAGAGGAAAGGAAAAAGCCATGTGATCCTGTCACTAGTTGGAGAAAAAGTATTGGACTAAATTCCACAGCTGTTCATGGTAAAAGCTATCAGGAGACTAGAAGTAGAACAGAACCTTCTCAACAGATCAAAGCCATGTACTCCATACTTCCAGCGAGAATGCCTTGTATGAATGGAGAAGACACAATCGCATGTTAATTTTTAATCATCCAAGCTACTCTGTGTTCCAAGGCAGACCCTACCGGTGGTTATTCTAAGGCAGTTTGTTCCTGGTATGGTTTGTTTCATTTTGTTCTGTTTTGTTGAGAGGGTCTAGTGCTATGTAGCCCAGGCTGCCTCTAACTCAGAGATCCCCCTGCCTCAGCCTCCCAAGTACCAGGACTACTGGCGTGGGAGCCACCACCGCACACCACACACCACAGCACCCGCTCCCGGGTCTGAGCCCTCCTCGCAGGCCCAGCCTGGGTCTGGGTGGAAGTCCGCGTAGCCTGGCCCCTCTGTCCCAGGAGTCACTGTGGGCACTGCACGCGTGTCCGGGGTCCTCCCCGCATCCTGGCCGTGTGGGACATGGGGCACGGGGGACAGCGCCTCCCTCAGCTGTCAGCACCGGCAGGAAGCAGGTGCCCTGTGGGCCAGGGCGGGCAGTGTGTGCCCCCGTGTGGAAAGTCCCCTCCCTGTGTGGTCCCTGCCCTGGTGGCCGATGCAGTGGCTCCAATTCCCGCGGGGAGAGCCTGCTGCCTCTGAGCTGCGCTCACAGCTTGGATCAGCAATACAAACAGACTCCATGGCCCACCAGTGAGCCCCACACCCACACCCGGGAGGCTGAGGCAGGAGGGTTGTGAGTTCAAAGTTGGCCGGGGCTACATGAGACGTTCAAGGCCAGCCTGGACTCAGACCGTGGCACAGACAAAGCGGTGGACTACACAGTGCTGTGTGGGGAGGGCATTTCCACCAAAAATGATGAAGGCACAAGAGAAACTGGCAAGGGAAGGGGCTCAGAAGGCTGTCCTGGGAGCGCGCCTGGGTCTGTTCTTGCTCCGCGTGGCCTCGCTGGCCTGGAGCTGCTGCTGTGCCGGCTGCCTGACAGCTGCGTCCCCAGTGACCCGCCCCTCCCATCCACGCGGGTCCTGTGTGGTTCCCGCTGTCCGTGGGCCGCGGGCTGAGAAGTGCAGTGGTTTCCTCTCCGGCTTCCAGAGCCCGGAGTGTCAGACGTGACTGGCGACCACCGACCACCACAGAGACCTCTGGGGAACCTTTGTGCTGCTGCTGTGCTTCCCAGGCTCTGGGGAGGGAGCCCAGGGCCTTCACACCAGCTGCATCCTCAGCCCCTGGGTTTCTGTTCTTGCTCTCTCTCTCCCTCTTTCTTTTCCATCTCCCCCTTTAATTAATTTATTTTTTAGTTTTGGGGGACTCGCTCTATAGCCCAGGCTGGCCTCAAACTCTCGGCGATCCTCCTGCCTCAGCCTCCAGAGTACTGGGGTTACAGCTATGCACGTCCGGCACCTTCTCCTTTCTCCGTTACAAAAGCAACAAGCAGCAGAAGCAAACTCTCTTGTTACAAAAGTGCAAACAAAGGCAGAAGGTTGTAAAAAAGTGAAGCCTCTTTGAAGCCCTCTGCCTCTAGGTAGCCAAGATAGGTAGATCCCCCACACCTGAATGATGTTACTATTGTTGCAGTGTTGGGGATTGAACCCACATTACGCAAGCACTCTAACCACTGCCCTACCTTCTCAGCCTTGTATTTGCTCTTTGTCATAACTGTCTCTGCCAAAATAGATGAACTGAGTTCCTTTTGATGGCTGCATAATATTCCACAAA